GGTAGCGCCATAGCTCAAGCGGTTAGTCGCTGGCTTCCCACCGTGGCGTCCCGGGTTCGATCCCGGGTCTGGTCAAGTGGGATTCGTGGTGGACAAAGTGGCGCTGGGGCAGGCTTTCTCCGAGTACTTCGGTTTCCCCTGCCAATCTTCATTCCATCAATTGCTCCACAATCACCCTCACCTATCATCTGGGGCTGGCACAATAGGCCAGAAGTGGCCGCAGTACAAGGGACTTAGTCCCACCCCACTAGCAATAAAAAAAAACTACGGTACCGCGTGCCCCATAATAATTGTAATTCCACTAATTTTCCTACTTGTTATTTTTAGACAATGGACAAATTCTAAATTATAATAACTCTAACAAATTTGTTCATGCAATTTGTTTCAAATAAGTCTATTTTGTATTTCGTGTATACCTTTTCCTATTTCTGAAAATCTCTCTTCATTTCACATCTTGTATTGTTCATACGATATTGTCTCCATTTATTTTATTTCGATTATGCAGTCGTTGAAATTTAGCTTGCTTACTTCGGTTTAACTCGTGCACGTACTTTCTTAGCTGCTTTAACTCGTAATTATATATTATGTATTTTTCTCCAAGCTTCTGTTCATTCCTCTCCTGGGCGCAAATATTATCTTCAGCGTCCTCTTAATAATTTATTTTCTAATAATTATCCTATACAAGTTATTACACTTCATGTTACATTTCGGAAACTAACTTTTTTTTAGAATGCTAGTGGGGTGGGACTAAGTCCCTTGTACTGCGGCCACTTCTGGCCTACTGTACCAGCCCCAGATGATAGGTGAGGGTGATTGTGGAACAATTGGTGGAATGAAGATTGGCAGGGGAAACCGAAGTACTCGGAGAAAACCTGCCCCAGAGACACTTTGTCCACCATAAATCCCGCTTGAGCTATGGCGCAGCCAAACTAACATTTATTTAGCGTCGATGTAATCCAAACCAATCACAAACTGACTTGGAGGTGACGATCATTCCTTACGAAAATGTAGGCTATAACTGCAGAATCATGTAAGAATGCAAAATTGTTGTGTTGGTTAGCATGACTGGGTCTAGCTTGTGTCAACATTTGATGGGCCACGCATCAAAACAGCTGCGGAAATATTCTGGTTTAACGTCGCATTTTTATATTTGTTAGAAGCATGGTTTCTGTTTCACTCGTGAGAGCCAAAATTCAATTAAATTTAACTTCGAATTTGTTTTCAAGACAAAAGTTGCTACTTATCTACAGTACAAAAAAAAAACTCCGTGGCCTATAGTCTGCAAGCGAACTACACCGACCAAGCGNGTTGGTTAGCATGACTGGGTCTAGCTTGTGTCAACATTTGATGGGCCACGCATCAAAACAGCTGCGGAAATATTCTGGTTTAACGTCGCATTTTTATATTTGTTAGAAGCATGGTTTCTGTTTCACTCGTGAGAGCCAAAATTCAATTAAATTTAACTTCGAATTTGTTTTCAAGACAAAAGTTGCTACTTATCTACAGTACATAAAAGAAACTCCGTGGCCTATAGTCTGCAAGCGAACTACACCGACCAAGCGATCACCGCTTGTCGGCGAAGTTAGTGCCAACTTCAGCGGATAGAGGGTGTCGCGTGGTCAGCGCAACGAATCCCCACGGCCTTTAATTTCGGTTTTCTAGACCGGAGCCGCTACTTTTCCATTCAAGTAGCTCCTCAATTATCCTCACGAAACTGAGTGGATCCCGTTCCAGACCCACAACTTCTCAGAAAATCTGGTAGCCCCGGGAATCGAACCCGGCACTTTTGGATCTGTAGCCAGGAACTCTGACCACTAGACCATAGAGGCGGTATATCTAGAGTACATAACCGTGTCTAATTTAATGTTTGAATGTCCCGCGCACAAACAAAAATGATTATGGGCCTACATTAATTTCAGTTTATTTTCACATAGTCTTGAAAGCTAAACAGCGTCAGTAGCTTTGTGATTCGAGGTTTTCACGAACGTGAAAATGCAACATTGCTCTCTTTCGGGATATGACGCCGTCTAGTTTTGTAGGTGTTTGTCAACATTTCGACGAAACAATCCGGTAATAGAACCTAAGTTTTGACACCGTCCTTATCAAAGCCGGCCGCTGGACATGATCTTAAGCCAGTGCATTCCACCTAACTTCTTCACTATACATTTCCGTAACATCTGTCCCAGTATTATGAGTATATTCCCATTGTCTTTGTAGTTTTTCAAGCGATCACGTTACAAGATGGCATGCGATGCCATACAGTCTGGTAAAATTTCATCGACGTTTCGGAGGAACGTACTGCCCACATGTTCAGAGAAAATAATAAACCAAGCAAGCAACTATCAAGTAGAATGATCTCTGGTTGCTTCTTTCTCGGCTTATTCTTCAACCCTGAAGATGGAAACAATACGGTCTTCCGAAATGTTGGTGAAATTCTACCGAACTCTGCAGCTCCACATCCTCAGAGATAGTCACTATCATAAGAACCTCATATCCAACATACTTCAGTACAAAACTTTGTGTTTGTAGATTTGTATCTTCTGGGTTGCAACGCAATGTAGTCCGTTGAAAATCAACCGATGTTTCGGAGGAATATGTCGTCTTCATCTTCAGGGTAGACTAAGAAGCCAAGCAAGAAACCAGCATGAAGCAGGTATCAAATTCTTCTTGTTTCCTGCTTGGCTTATTAGTCTAACCTGAAGATGAAGACGACATATTCCTCCGAAACATCGGTTGATTTTCAGAAGGTTACAAGGCGTTATATCCCAGAATATACAACTTCTAACCACTTCTTTGAGAAGTTTAAATCCTATATTTTCCATTTTCTTTATGTGCCACTAGGTAAAACCCCATTTGCAGTTAATAGTAATGATAATAATATAAAGAAATCGCTATAAAATGCAGGTATGATGCATTACGCTACCTGGTCTAACGTCCAGGCGTGATCATGGTATTTCTTCTCTTGTACCACAGTCGCCTTCGCTCCCATTGTATCGACTGGTCGCACTCACTCGCATGCAACAGTCAACTGACTGTAAATCATCAACCTAGCGGCAGAGCGCGCAGACGTTGTTTCGCGGTCGCGACGCTAGATTTCAACACTGGTTCTACAGGAAGACGAGATCCATTGTTTAAATTCTCACCAAATCGGGCAAATTCTCAAAAGCACACATTTTACAGGTGTATTAACCATTCCAACAGCATATTCCTGTCTTCGTAAACTCGTCAAAACAGAAGATACCTGTCCGAATGCATAGAAACCTCTAGAATTTGTTCCAAGAATGCATTAAGACACATTTAAACCCTTTAAGAATATTTTTACACATACGCCTAGGAATTATAGGTCTGTGCACTGAAACACAGATAGTGAACAATTTAAGTTTAAGATAATATCTGATACATTATTTTCTTTGAATTCTATTTTTTTTTTCCCACAAAAATCCATGGGAACAGATTCATGGTTCCCTCTGCTAGTGCACATGACTCCAAATCCATCACGAATGACGAGTTTGGCCCCTGTATATTATTATTTTATCGAAATATTGACATATGACATTCAAGATTATTGCTTTATAACTCATCTTCTTATCATTGCTGGTGCCTTAGATTATTTTGTCGAATATATGTCCCTATTCTCATCTTTAGTTCCTGCTAAGTTAAAAATATTTGGTAGCATTTTTAGGCCAGTATCTGATAAAAGAATACTAATTCAAACAAACGTAAGATTTCCTTTACTCGGAAACGCGATTTTATCTAAAAAAAGTTCTTCTTAGCCCAGAACGTACATAGTACAACAATTTAAATTATACTCTACAAATTTATTTAGAAAGAAGTAGACTCCCCGCTCAAAAATACAGATCACATGGATCAAGAATCTCAGTAACACCTTTGAACTGGCATGTAATTTGTGTAATTTATGTAATTTGTGATACCGATACCCCCAAGGGTACCAAAGTAACCAGCTGCGGGTACCATTAAGTTCCATTAAGTACAAACTATTGTTCTCGGGTACTATTTTATTTTTAATTGGCTCAGAACAAAGTTGTGAATATGGTAGATGTATAGGTCGCTACTCGTAATTTATATGAACATTGTACATCTTGCTGTGCTTTTTTTTTTCGTGGGTCCAGACATTCGGTTGTTTCAGAAGGTATCAAGCACAAAATGTTTCAGGATCGTTGGATGTGTCAGGCGTCTCCAAAACGTTCGCAACTAACTACTAAACTACACGACGTCATATTCCCAAATACCACGGCCACAATATTCACTGCACTGAAAACTGAATATCTGATATCCATGTTCATTTATAACGAACAAAATCTAAGATACAAATCCGCTCCAGTAAAGCTTACCGCATTGTCGCGCTGCCTAATTAACGGGGCTCTTTTCGTACATTATTTATTTAACAAATCCCTTTATGATATAAAGAATTTGAAGCTATTCCTGTAATAGTCTGTGGAGGCCCACAGAGTTGTGAGACGTCGAGACTGCCACGTTTTTTAGACGATCAGTTCACAGATGGCGGTGAGGTTGTCAGCCTTACCCGCTGGCCACCCTTTACCCCCAGAAAGATTCCTGGTACTCATTTCTGTTAGAGGCTGAGTCGACCCCAGGGCCATAGTGCAGCTGGAAGGATTAGATTTTGTAATCACTGCACAGGAAAATTCTGTTGCTTACTGAATGTGTGGAGAAGCTGTAAAGTTACGTACATGCATGTTCCTAATACACTGTACAAACTGAGAGGGCACTTTGCCCTGACCGTCAGAGCTGGGTGGGAGGGCTCGAATTTATGTATTATTTTAGGGGGTCGCAGTATCGCAAAATTTGAAACCCCCTTACGTAAGGTACAGCTCATTAAATCTGTAGGACTGTAAGAATATAATGAAGTACTTAAAATGAGATAATAGGAGGGGCATCGTTTGCTTTAAACTATTGACAGTAGTGCAAGTACACAGAGATTTTCTTTTGTGTGTTTTAAGTTTTAAAATCTTCATTTTTACCTGATATTTCAATCCAATCTAGAGAGTTTCTTCACGTCTGGCGACATCTTGCCGACATTTCACGTTCATGTGAACACAATCTGCGTCTTGATACTGCCTCTGCGTCAATTTCCCGGTTATTTCTGAAAAAAAAATGGTAATAAGACTTCTGTAAGGCAATAAATTCTGAATGGTGGTAAATAATGAATATGCCCATTAATTCTGCACGTATTACTGTTTACAATTAAACAATTAACAGATATGCCAATGGTATGGAACTTCGATGTCCGAGAGGTTTAATGTTGACGAAATGTATGCTTAATCAATTAGAGATTTTGGTCTTCTAAGATGTGTGGTAGATGGGTACCAATGTTTCGGAAGATCTTGCCATTTCTATCTTCAGAGTACGAGTAATTATTTCCGAAAGTGCAATGCTTCTATTGCTGCTGGTACTCCAGCATTTTCTTGCTGGATTGTGCAGTTGCTTAGATATGCATTATCGACACTGACTTATAGAAGCGGAATTCTACGCAGAAGGAAAATTTGTTCTTACGAACTTGACTGGGTACTCCCTGTAGTGCTGTGTGTGGAGGCAGTGACTTCCCCAATCCTTGAAAACAAATTTCTAGCGATTGCTGCTAGTAATTAGCATGAGAAGACATTAAGTACCAATTTCCAACACACCACCACTTTCCTGTTAGTTGGCATGAAATATGTGCCCAGTTTCTTTCGTTTCGATAAGCAAGATTTACTGCCGTATTATCTGAAAGTGGGGGGCACGCGGTAACATAGAAAGTTTGAGGCACAATGAGACAAGACGGAAGGTTGTGGGCTCGATTACCGATGTCGTTCTTCAATTGGCCTAATCCTTACTGCCGCATTATGCCCCTGGGTTCGGCTCAGCCTCTAACAGAAATGAGTACCAGGAATCTTCCTCTGGGTAAAGGACGGCCCGCGCTTAAGGTTGACAACCTCACCGCCGTCTGTGTGCCGATTGTCTAGAAAATGTACTTGGTAACTTTAACAGAAAATTCTACGTTTTGCTCCTAAATTATATTTATGTGTTGTGTATGATTCTCAGAACAAGAAGCGAATATTTATCTAAACAATATTAAGCTGTTGGTCTTTGTAATGGAGAATCATCCTGCAGTAGAAATAGTCCTGCAGCAGGCCGCGGAGGCCTATAGGGCTGTGAGACATCGAGGCTCCCACATTTTTCTAGATAATCGGTTCGTAGATGGCTGTGAGATTATCAGCCGGCCAACCTGTAACCCCAGAAAATATCCTGGTAATCATTTCTGTTAGAGGCTGTGTAGACCCCAGGGCTATGGTGCAGCTGGATGTGTTGAATCATTTGAAAATTCCAGTAACATCGGGAATCGAACCCGAGACCTTCTTGCTTGTAGCATAATGCCTCAATTAACTAAGCTACCGCGTGCCCCACCATCGTATAGTACTAGATGAAGCAGTTAAGAGAAATCCTGCATTATTGCCTTCTGGATTATAATTCAGATGACTTTTAAATAAAGAACTGAAATTGTGAAACTTCCCTGTTATGAAATTGAAGATCTGTAATGGCAAAGGTCAAGTAAAAACAACTGGAGTAACTGAGTAATACTATAACTTAGTAGAAAGCACATATGCGGTATCTTCAAATTATTTTGCAGGGGTGTGGCGAGTTCTTGACACCTGCCGCTCCACAGCGCTGGTATCGTTGTTACCTGTGACACTCAACGCTTCCCAGATACAAACAAACAAACCGGGGGGGTTTCAGATTTGTGTAGTGGTTGCAAAGTATTAACGTACATGTGCCACACGGTGCAGATTTCCATGCGTTACTTACCTTTAGGCCACGTCTGTGGTGGGAATATTCCAGGACAATATCCCTGTCACAGTATGTACATGTTGAGCTTCGTTGTAGCACTGTACGAGTGACAGTTTTTCGCAACCTAACTTCTTTGTTATGTAAAGTATAAAACGTGATATAACAATTTTTTAAATAATTTCTACATAGAAAACCGCTTGATTTATATCAGTTATGTAAATATATATCTAGAAACAGTCTCTCACAAGCCGCAAAAAAAGAAAACTCTCTCTAAAACCAATGATCCTGTACACTCTACAACAACCCGCACACACGAGGCCGCTTCTGCAGGTGATCCTCACTTCGACAGCTTCCCATATTCGCTACTGTTGTATTACTCGGCGATGCAAGCAAAATGGAGTACGACGTCTGCCGAGTTTTGCGACGCAGGCGGGTGGACGACCGGGCCGTGGCGTTGCTATGCTGCCAGGATCGTCGTCATGGCAACCTGAGGGAGCTGCTCAGCTCAGCCTCTAGATTTTGTTACTAACAGATCAACAACTTAGAAACAGAACACCCTGCTTGCCATCATGCCGGAGTCCATATCCCAGATCCATGGACACTGAGTTTAATTTTTGTTTATAGCATTGTCGTTGTATGGGCCACAAATTTGTTCTTTCTGTAAACACAGGCTGTTGTTACGGTGCATAGGTTGTACACAAATAGTTCACATAAGTCTTGTTAACGCGCTGGTTACGCAACAATTAACACTACAGACAAAGCGTCCACAATATAGTGTCTGGCACTGACGGAGCAGTAGATTGGCTATGTGGAGTATCTGGCACTAACAGTATACAAGAAACATCCGCAATATAGCGTCTGGCACTAACAGAGCAGTAGATTGACTATGTGGAGTATCTGGCACTAACAGTATACAAGAAACATCCGCAATATAGCGTCTGGCACTAACAGAGCAGTAGATTGACTATGTGGAGTATCTGGCACTAACAGTATACAAGAAACATCCGCAATATAGCGTCTGGCACTAACAGAGCAGTAGATTGACTATGTGGAGTATCTGGCACTAACAGTATACAAGAAACATCCGCAATATAGCGTCTGGCACTAACAGAGCAGTAGATTGACTATGTGGAGTATCTGGCACTAACAGTATACAAGAAACATCCGCAATATAGCGTCTGGCACTAACAGAGCAGTAGATTGACTATGTGGAGTATCTGGCACTAACAGTATACAAGAAACATCCGCAATATAGCGTCTGGCACTAACAGAGCAGTAGATTGACTATGTGGAGTATCTGGCACTAACAGTATACAAGAAACATCCGCAATATAGCGTCTGGCACTAACAGAGCAGTAGATTGACTATGTGGAGTATCTGGCACTAACAGTATACAAGAAACATCCGCAATATAGCGTCTGGCACTAACAGAGCAGTAGATTGACTATGTGGAGTATCTGGCACTAACAGTATACAAGAAACATCCGCAATATAGCGTCTGGCACTAACAGAGCAGTAGATTGACTATGTGGAGTATCTGGCACTAACAGTATACAAGAAACATCCGCAATATAGCGTCTGGCACTAACAGAGCAGTAGATTGACTATGTGGAGTATCTGGCACTAACAGTATACAAGAAACATCCGCAATATAGCGTCTGGCACTAACAGAGCAGTAGATTGACTATGTGGAGTATCTGGCACTAACAGTATACAAGAAACATCCGCAATATAGCGTCTGGCACTAACAGAGCAGTAGATTGACTATGTGGAGTATCTGGCACTAACAGTATACAAGAAACATCCGCAATATAGCGTCTGGCACTAACAGAGCAGTAGATTGACTATGTGGAGTATCTGGCACTAACAGTATACAAGAAACATCCGCAATATAGCGTCTGGCACTAACAGAGCAGTAGATTGACTATGTGGAGTATCTGGCACTAACAGTATACAAGAAACATCCGCAATATAGCGTCTGGCACTAACAGAGCAGTAGATTGACTATGTGGAGTATCTGGCACTAACAGTATACAAGAAACATCCGCAATATAGCGTCTGGCACTAACAGAGCAGTAGATTGACTATGTGGAGTATCTGGCACTAACAGTATACAAGAAACATCCGCAATATAGCGTCTGGCACTAACAGAGCAGTAGATTGACTATGTGGAGTATCTGGCACTAACAGTATACAAGAAACATCCGCAATATAGCGTCTGGCACTAACAGAGCAGTAGATTGACTATGTGGAGTATCTGGCACTAGGATTGTTCTTGCAGTGAGGTTATATATATATATTTCTGACAATATAAAACCTCGGCAGCAAAACTGCCGCAACAGGGACACGTGTAACCAAAATTTGTTTATTGGGAAAGCGACGTAACCCGCTACCTGAACTTGGGTACGCTCTCATGCAAAGCTTAAGAGTCAGCTGGATATGTTTATGATCGTGCTCCGAAAATGGGGAGATTATATGAATATTATAGTGCGCCTGTTAGGTCGTTAAAGCTGTGTCGTCGGCACACAGTGACGTAGATCGCTACGTCATTGTTAGGAAGTCACTAGATCCCATTTCGAACCAGGCGATGGGGACCAAAATGGCAATGGCGGAGAGCTCTCTGAAGGCAAAGGAATTTTAGTTCGTAATGTTGCCTATCAACGTAGGAGGACCCATCAAAGACGTTCCAGACGAAGTAATTTGTGTCATTTGTGATATTGCGGAACTGAAGTGGATGCAGGACTTCCCTAAAAATCGTTTTCAAACGTATCTCTTTAGTTAAACATTCCTTGCAAATTTAAATTTGTCCATATAGGTAATTCCGTACGATACCGTAAAAATATATGGACAGCGGAGGTACGAGTATATGTCACGCATTCTTAACATTGTCACTAGACGTAGGGGAGTGGTCAGCTTCACACTCCGGCCGCTTTAACCCCAGGAGAAGCGACATCTCTGTACACCTTGAATAGCAGACTGGGTGGACCTCAAAGTCGGTCTGCACGCCTTGGCGACGATGAAGTCTCTGTTCCTGCTGAGAATCGAACCCCGATTTATCGTCCTGAGCCTATTCACTATGCTGACTGAGCTACCCTTTTAAGTGTATTATTATCCGGAACTTTATAGGATTATATGACATTTGAGGTTTTCACGGCGGTTTCGATGAAGAATACGATATTTTGAGATTTGACGCCGTGTAGCCTAATAGAAGTTAGAACCTGAAGATAGAGGCACTATGTTCCTTCGAAACGTCATTAAACATATACGAGACTGCACGGCATCATATCTAAGGAGATAATACCGACTGTAGGATTAGATCTTTAGTGTGGTGTGATAGTTGATTACCGACGGAAGTATATAATGCCTTTTTATCTTCGTCTACACTGAAGATGGGGACAGTATATTCGTCCGAAATATTTTTGTTCACCTACAAAACCACTCGAATTGTAACTCAGATGACCATAATATGTAATTATTATTACAACTATTTTTTTAATTTCGTTATTATTATTATTATTACTGTTACGATTTTGCTTTAGAACAAGTGAAATTGCACACCTTGCAAAAGAGATGATGTCACCTTGATTCACTCTTCCTTTTTCAAGTTTATCGTGGTTCTGTACTTTGCCCTTCTGCTTTGGAGACTGTTGGCCTTCGGGTCCCTGTTCGATATATCGAGACTTTCCTGTGTTCAATGTCTGTTCTGTTAGTAAAAATTGCCCCTCTGTTAGATGCGCTTCTGCTGCTAATGTTGTCTGTAGGGACGTGACGTCTTCGGACCAAGAACTCTGTTGATGAAACATATCTTATACTGAACTAATTAAACTATTATTATTATTATTTTTTTTATTAATTTCGTTATTGTATTATTATTATTATTATTATTATTATTATTATTATTATTATTATTATTATTATTATTGTATGCTGCTCTATTTGAAACTCAGATTCTCACATTGTGGCTTTGTCTGTGTATGTTTCCTTCTGTATCTTTATTCATGCTAACTGTGTAATTAATATAGGCTATCATTTTTGTATTTTGTTTTTTAATTGTTTTTGTGTATTTCTCTATTCGTGCTAGATTTGTAATTGGCTTCTGTGCTGTTAAGTTTGCAAGTAAGTAAACACGAATTGAATTGAATAATTATTATCATACTTTAAAAAGGGACAGCGGACAATTTCTCTGAGACCTGGTTGTAAATTGTACAGATATTTCTTGCAAAATTTAGTCTCAACTGGCCAAGGTGGCTCGAACGGTAATGCTTCTGACTTCTATTCATGAAGTTATAGGTTCAAATTTCGGCCTGTATATCGATTACCATGACGGAGTGTTTTCGTGCGTTTCCTCAGTCCCCTCCAGTCAAACGTCACGATGGTATCTTAAATGAAGCCACTAGCACCTCCTTTAGTATCCATTCCAATTCATTAGTCACCAATCAATCATTATAAAGTTCGAAGCTGTATAGTCTTGTTTACTGGCAGCGTCGTTAAACAAACACTGAATCGATGTAAATAAAGTAAGGGCTCTGCCCTCGACGCGCGACGCGTTGCTGAAGCCAGTCGCTAACGAGGGGTGGCGGACAGGTGACGAACTCCTGGAATGCTACTGTCTTTTTATTACTTGGTTTTCCTTGATCCCGGGCCTCGTGGCGAGGCTGACGGGGCGCAGGGCCCCTGGTACAGCCGGTCGATGGAGGCAGGATACAGGCCCGCAACTCAGACGGCAGCACTGCACACACCTGTGCGCATCCCGCACTGCACACTGGCCTGGAACAAAGGAGTGCGCTGCTCGGCCTTGTTTTCCATATGTGGGGCCGGGACTAGCTCACTGGCTGGACGACCGGAGGATCCAGGTTCGATCCCCGGCAAAGTCAACAGATTTCTGTCTTCACGGCTGTTCTTAAGTATACGTTGTGAGCGCTACAGCTCAAGCGGTTAGTCGCTGGCTTTCCACCGCGGCGGCCCGGGTTCGATCCCGGGTCTGGTGGAGAAGTGGCGCTAGGGCAAGTTTTCTCCGAGTGCTTCGGTTTCCTATGCCAATCTTCATTCCACCAATTGCTCCACAATCACCCTCACCTATTATCTGGAGCTGGTACAATAGGCCAGAAGTGGCCGCACTACAAGGAACTTAGTCCCACCCCACTAGCAATAAAAAAAGTGTACGTTGTTCTTTAAAACTGAATGATAATAATGACGATAGTTATAATAATATTTTATTTATTTATTTCATGCTTACTCAGAAGTCCATAGGTCAGTTATAAAGCATGAGCGGAGAGAGAGAGAGCACGAACACACACAAAGCAAAACAAGGATAATAATAATAATAATAATAATTATTATTACCAATTGTCAATAGATTTTCCGTCAAGTGCAACAATATATACTTTGGTCACTTATTTATCTCGTCTGCCTTACATGTTTCGGTTCCAAGGAACCATCTTCAGAGGCACTTATAACAAATTATGAAAACACTGGCACAGCTCAACATCCACAGTATGTAGTTATTTGTGGAAAATA